CGCACCCTGCTCAACACAGCTGTCTTGTCTTTGAGCACTCCTGGGGGAAGAGAGGGTCAGAGGGTTGGGCCTGAGGTCTGAGGCTTGTCTGTCTCTGTCTCCGTATCTGCTTCTCAAGTGTCAGCTTCCCAAGAGTCTCTCCCAGGCTAGGGCCTCCAACCTCATCTGTGCTTCACCTGGGCCAGGTGGTACCACAGGCACCTGTCTGGCCAGGGGGCTGAGAAGCTGCTGATGGAGAAGGGGCATCCGGGCAGCTTCCTGGTCCAGGAGAATCAGAGCAACCCTGGGCAGTCTGTGCCCACAGTGCTGACTCAGGAGCCAGAGGAGGCGCCGGGCACCGACCGCAGCCACGCCTCCCCTCCATGATGGTCTGCTTCCAAGCGGTAGGCGGCCTGGGAGGGCTGTGGCTCTGGGAAGGGCGGGCTTCACAGCCAGGCCCCTCACTGCCACCCCACAAACAGATGGGAAGTACGGCGGGAGGTAGGGAGCCGTTGTACGTCCTGAGAGACCCGGTGGGACACCCCTGGTGGAGAAGTCGGGGCGCCAGGCAGCTCAAGCAGGTAGGCTGCTGCAGGAGCCTGGGGCCCAGGGGATGCCAGCACTGACCCCTCCCCGAAAGAGGCCAGGGGTGAGACTCCCTGCAGGCCTGCCCTGGGAACCTGAAGGACCAAGAGAAGGAGGAAGAGGCAAGGCCCCTGGCACAGGGCCCAGTGTCCTCCCCAGAATGAGGGTCCCGGGCCTGCTCAGGGCCTGGTGGCCACCTTGGTGAAGGGTGCTGGGGGCTCTGCCTGGAAGCCCCGCAAGGCCACAAGAGTCAGTGCCGAGAGTCGCGTGCAGAAGCTCACCCAGGCTGCAGATGCCCATGGGAAGACAAGCAGGGCCTCTGGGAGGAGTCTGAGGTGCTCCCTTCCTGCTGCCTCCCTCTGACTCCATCCTCCAGGGCTGGGGCGGTGGTGGCACTGAGGGCTCTGCAGAGGGACAGGGCCACAGCTGAAGCCTCCATTCTCCCAGGTGTTGCAACAGCAGGAATGCTGGCTCCTATCACCCTGGAAGAAGGGACAGAGGCCAGAGAACAAGCCCAATAACCTCTGCAAGAACGTCCTTCCCCGTGAGGCAAGTGCTTCACTGTCATGGGCACATGGAGACCACCTGGCAGGGGTCCTGGGGGAGGCAGGGAGTGCCCACCACCAGATTTGGCTCCCTCTGACACACAAGGCCCCAGACTTCCCCACCTCTGCTCACCACAGGTCAGTGGGCAAGGAAACAGGGTGTGCCCCTGAGCTTCCCACCTCTCCGGGAGACCTGGATGGCCTCTTTCCCTTCCCACTTGATACCACCCATGTCACCCTGCCTGACGTGGACACCAGCAGGCCTGGAGCCGACTCCATCGATGCTAGCTGCATCAGGTGGGCGTGTGAGGGAGCAGCAGGTGTGCAGGACATCCTCCCTCCAGGCCTGTCTGGAGCGCACAGGAGATCCTGACCTGTATCTGCCCCTCCAGTCATCCGGGCTCCGTCTTAGGCACCAGAGACCATGCTGGGAGGCCCCAGAGAGCCAGGTCCCAGGGGTGGAGAGCAAAGAGTGGACCCTGGCAGCAGGGTCTTCAGAGCAAGCTGGACTGAGTGTGACTCCTCAGCCCTCCCCTGGCCTTAAGTGCGAGGAACCGTGAACCACCTGGGCTCTTTTGCACACTTGCATAAACTGTCCTCTCAGCTTTAATTTTGACATCCCCCCCCTTTCAGAGTGACCCAGAGGAGAAATCAGACTTGGGAGTGGGCAGAGTGTGCATTGCTACACAGGGGTCCCTGCAGACCACGGCAGCTGCCTTCTGGGGCAGGATGTACCAAGAGAACACACATGTCACTGTCATGACCATCAGACAGGTGGAGCAAGAGCGGGTAGGAGCCCGGAGTCCGACCTGCACTGTGAGGTCCAGGCTTGCCTCTTAACTGGTCAAGGAAGCAGATCCTCCTCGGGACAGAGAGCTGTGGGGCACTGGGGCGGAGGAGGAAGAAGAGCCATGACTGCACCTGTACGCGTGTGCTGGCCAGGCCAGGCGTCCCAGGCTGACCTCCTTCAGAACAAGTGTTTCTGGTATTGGCCAGAGCTTCAGGGCCACCAAGAGTAAGGCCATATATGTGTGTGCCACAGGGCTACTACGCACGGAAGCTACAAATGGGGCGGCCAGACCAGGTGAGTCTGGTGGGCAGTGGAATGTGTGTCCCCAGGTCCATGCTGAGGGAGAGCAGGTCCTGCGCTGAGAAACCTGACTTCGTCTATCCCCCGGGTCTTGGTGGCTTCGGTTCTCCTGAACCTGGTTCAAGACTGGGCTCTGCTCACAGAGGACTCAACCCCAGCTCCAGGGCCAGGCCCTGGCTCACATCTGCCTCCCCAGGTCTCTGCCTGGCTCCTGTCAGCAGCTGTCTTCTCTGGGTGCCACTGGTGCCTATTCCTGCCCCAGGCACAGATCCTTCCCTCTTCCCAGCAGCACAGGGCTCTGATCTGACCAACCACCTCTTTGTGGGAGGGTCCTGCGAATTCCTCAGGCAGGAGGCTGGCTCTGCCTAAACAAAACTCCCTGTCCCCACTCCTGCCCTGCCATGCTCCTTCTTTCCTTCCCTTTCTGTTCCACCTCCATTTTCCTTTCCTTCCTCCCCTCCTGCTGGGCCTTGGCCTGTCCCCCGCCCCTCCACCTTCTCCCAGCTCACCCCCTTTGCCCCTCCCACCGAGGGGTCCTAACAGGACCCTCTCACCCTGGTGGCCCTACTTGGGAGCTGCGGCTCACATTCTCCAAACCAGACCTGCCCCACCCAGGAGGAGCCACCGCGCACAACGAAGCACTTCCAGGACTTGACCTGGATGAGGTGGACCCTGCCACGCGCTGTGCTCACAGTGGTGCATGGCCAGGTGCTACCAGGGTGGGACTGCAGGGAGCGATAGGAGGCTGGACCTCTGGACCAGGCCTTCTGGTAAGGATGGGACCAGGGCTTCGCTCCTTGAATTCATTAAGAGGTCGCCTGGTTTGACCCCAGCCGGGCATCAGACGCCAGGGCACCATCGTGGTGCTTGACTTTCTGGTGGACCTCATCCGCAAATTGGGTGAGCAGTTCCGGCCCCTCCCCTCCCGGAGGCCACGCCCCATAGAAGCCACACCCTCTCCCGTTGCCCCTCCCCAGGCTCCATTCTCCCGACTGCATTCTCCCGACTCCCGACCTGATGGCCCCGCCCTCCCACGGGCCTCGCCCCTCCGGCCCTGCCCTCCCCGCTAGCCCCACCCAGAGCCCACCCTACGACTCCGCCCCTTTCGCTGCTGACCCCTCCAGCCGCCGCTGCTTGCCAGCTGCCCTGAAGGCCGTTCGTTGTCCCTAGGGCTGGACGAACCAGCTGGTGCGGCAGCAGCGCTTGCGGACGGTGCAAACCGAGGCGCAGTACCAGTTCGTGTACCTCGCGCGACAGCGCTGCATCCGAGGCGAGCAGCTGCGCTTGCGCGGGCAGGTGGGGGCGGGGCGGGGGCTGCGTGGGCCCCCAGCGGAGCGCGAGCCCGAGCGGAGGACTAGAAGCTGGGCCTCAGTCCCCGACCTGCGCAGTCCCGGTCGCCCGCGGCGGGAGTTGGCTGACGGTCTGGGGTGCAGCCAGCTGACCTGCCTCTATGAGAGCCTGCAGAGCCTGGGGGCTGAGGGGCCTCTGCCAGCCTCCACCCCGCCTCCCTGTCTGTGCCCTGGGGTAGGGCTGAGCCCTTAGAAGCTGTTGGCTCCTCAGAGGGCTGCTTCAGGGCCAGAGATATTCAGGTGTTGGAGTGGGGGGCCTGGAGTCCACCTCTCAGACTTGCGTGCCAGACCTGGACCCGACTGGTAGGAGAGCAGTCTTGAGATCCAGTGTTCTTGGCCCTGTGAGGACTGCGGAGCTGACAGTGACCACATGTGGACCTGAATGTGCCTCAAGTCCAGCCACTCCATGTGGGCCTGTGTGTGAAGTGAGCAACAGGGACAGCCCATGCCTGACATGACTGCAACCATCGGTATTAGTATCCTGCTGACCTGTGTGCCCTGCCCATCACCACCATGCCTGTGCAATAAGGCCTGTGGAATGAGCGCCTGTAGAGATGCTCATGTGACCATGTGTGCAGACTCACGTGCTGGCCCTGCTGGTGGTGAGGTGGCTCTACATATGCGTGACTGTGTGTGACAGGGTGTGACACCCCGGCCTGTGTCCATGGAGGCACCCCTCCTTCTCACAGCTACCTGTGGCATCAGGGCATCTCGAGTAAAGCTGGTTTTAGTTCTGTTTTTAGGCTGATCCCTGGCCCCCCTAGTCCTGGGCCAGGGGTGTATGAGGTCCCTAGGACTGGACCCAGATTCTACAGGGTCTCTCTCTGCTCTCGCTCTGCCCCGTCAGAGGCCCTGCTGGTAGGAGCAGGAAGTATCTGGGCCTCGGGACAGGTCTGGGCCTTCCTGGTCTCACTCACCTTGTGGTACAGGATTCCTGGGGCCATGGCAGAACCTGGGTGGGGTGGGGTGGCAGGATGCCCAGCCCACAAAGCTGCATGCGCTTGCTCCAGCAGGTGGGCTAGCTCAGGAGGGCTGAGGGTCTACCAGAGGGACCCAAGGTCTAGATCATCAGGCCACCACTGCTTGTCACCACCTCTGCTTCAGGGACCCTTGGGCCTTGGTTTCCACAGGGGTCTTGGGTCCTGTGGTTCCCTAAACAGCTCTCCTGGTGGGGCTGGGGGTTCACAACTTCCTGGGGGTATGCAGGGATGGCCATGGTGGGAGATGGGGAAAGAGAAGCCCCCTTAGAGCCACTGGGTGCTGGGCCAGGCTGAGGCTCCAACCTGCTGGGGTGCCCTGGGACTTTCCCTGTTTCCCTAGGGGAACCTCATGGTACAGGAGCTGGCCCCCTAGTCCTTGGTCCCACCCATGATCCAGTGGGGAACCTGGACAGAGGCTAGGCTGGGTGGAACAGGGGGCTTTCTGGAGGGGTGGGGACACAGAGTGAGAACATTTTACCAAACAGAGATATAAACTATTTTATTTTAAAATGTACTGTTTGCAAGCATAGAAGGGCATCTGGGCAGTTTCTGCAGTGGCCTGGGCAGAGGGCCTGCCCTGCCTCTGCTCTCTGATCCCTCCAACAGAAGGGGCCAGCCCTGCCTAGAGAGAGCCCTGGGAAGGCCCTGGTGAAATGGCCTCAAAGACAGTAAGCCCTCCACGCATTGCAGGGTGTGGAGGAGGGCAGGGGTCTGGCCAGCACCTCCTGGTCCCTTCCACCACCTGTGTGACAGGGGAAGGGATAGCTTCTAGGGCCTGTAGGAGCCAATCAATCTTAGAGACTTTGGGCACCCTTTGTCCATCTCATGAGGACCCTCAGTGGGGTCCTAGGGGATAAATTTCCAGTAGCTGCTGTGCTCCTGACCCCAGCAGATCAGAGGCCTGGCCATAGGCTGGTGACCCTAGTTGCTAGCCAGGGGCTCAAGGGAGAAGGCAGTGGCAGCAGTGCTGGAGGCAGTAGGTGGCCGGGGGAGGCAGCGCAGGTTCCCAGTCTTGAGCGCACACTGCACGGGCCAGAGCACCATGCAGAACAGCAGCAGCAGCAGGACAGAGACCAAGGCCAAGCGCCGCCAGTCCCTGCAGCGGGCCCAGCAGCGGGCCAGGCGGCTCCGGCGTGGGGCCAGGTCTGGGACAGGCACAGGTGGGGTAGGTTCAGCAGGCTTGCTCAGGCCCACATCCACACACACAAAGCCGGGTGCCTCACGGCCAGGTGTGGCAGGCAGTGGGCGGCAGCACAGCTTGGTGCCCTCTAGCCACACTGGCTCCTCTCGTTGCAGGTGTGCGGGCATCTTGGCCTGCAGCTGGCGGCTGGTACGCAGTGCAGGGGCCCCAGCAGCTGGCACAGCTGTGGGCTTCCGGCAGAATGGGCAAGGCACAGCCTCACTGCCGGAGCCCGTGGGCTGGGCGGCCGCTAGCCGGGCCAGGCACTCCAGGCAGAAGACATGGGTGCAGGACAGTTCCTTTGGTGTCTTGAAGATGTTGTCATAACCTGAGAAGCAGATGGAGCACTCCAGCGGGGAGGCCACCTTCTCTGAACCAGGGGTGCCGGGTGACCCGGGTGTCGAGACTGTGGGGCTGCTCCGGCAGTGGGGTGGTACCACCGTGTGCCATACCTGCTGGCCTGTTGACATGGTGCTGGGCTGTGGAACAGAGGCTGCTGTGAGTGTCTCCTGCCCATCCTATGAGGTCAGTCTTGTCCAGCATCAGCCCCCAGATTCCAGGGAACACACTGTCCACTTGTGGGTATCTCTGAAGTTCCTGCGCCCCTGGAGCTCTTTCACCCCAGCTATCACCTACCCTCCCCTACTTGTCCCAGGGCTGGGTGTCCCGCGGGCCCCAGGCCTAGATGGCTCAGAGGGTGCTGGGGTGCATCTCATGGCTCAGTGGACACCTTCTGCCCCCTGCCTCTACTTATGGTGGCAGTGGTCTGTGATGGCTCCTGCAGCATCCCATCTTTGGGGGTACGGGCCCTGTGGGAAAGGCAGCTTGAGGGTGGGTAGCTCCACCAGGTTGACTCAACCCGGAGCCAGCAGGATGGGGGCCCTGGGCTTGTGGGCTGCCTGTAGGCGGCTGAAGTGATGTGAAACTACATGCCGCGGGCGCCCGGGTTGGTCGGCACGTGCTGGAGTTGTAAGTGGCCAAGTAGAGTGGGTGGGGGTCTCTGGGTCAGAGGGCAGCCGAGCCATGTGATGGAGGGAAGACTGGGAAGGCCTGAGTGAGATTCCAAGGAAGCGCTTTCCCAGCTGCACCCTGGACACTTTGGGGCCCACTTGTCTGCCTGGTGACCGGGGTCTGGTGCCAGTGACCAGGGATGGGAAATGCCCCCCGGCTAGGGTGAAGCAGGCTCAGCCATCCTCTCTGTGCCCTTGAACGTCAGGCCATGGCTGCCCTTTGAAGAGGAAGCAGGATGTGGAAGGGTCCGGGACCTTCTCTTCCATGGCCGTTTCTACGTCCCTGATGGGCTCAGAAGACCCCACTGACCAGACACCTGCCCTGCCCTGCCTGCTGCCCCTCCCCAGCCACAGGGTCCTGCCTAGAGGACAGACAAGTGACAATGCCTTTCCTCTCAAAGGCTCTGGTCCCAGGACCCAGGGAGCCCGGGAGGCCTCACGAGAGGTGGCCCCTGGCCTTCCTGGCCCTGGTCTAGGCTTACTGGCCAATCCTGGGGCAGGTGGATGGTGCAGGTATTGCTAAATTGTCACTGCGATCCTGTGAGTCACCTGACATCACCGTGATGTCACGAGGGCCCCAGGCTCCTGGCATGTGATGTCACCACATCTCAGGGATAGCTGTGGCCCTGGCAGACCTGGGAGGACCTGGGGACTGCCCTCCCCCACCTTTCTCCCACAGAACTTGCTCCTTGGCACCAGGCCTCACCCTCACAGAGGTGCTCCACCCTGGGCCTATTCAGGTGAAGGGTGAGGACAGGCTGAGCAGCCTTACCTGGCAGCGGGGGGTCAGTAGCTCCTGGGCATGATCCTCTACGCCGACCACAGAGGGGTTCTGAGCCTCTGGGCTCCCCAGCTCCAATACTGTTTGCTCCCTCTCCTCCAGTCCTGGCTTGGCCTCGGCTCCACCTGGCAGGTGTCTCTCCTGGGGCAAGTGGCCAGCAGCTATCCTGAGGTACTAGCAAGTGTACCTGGGCTGTCAGGAGTAGAGGATGCGTATGCTTGTCCTGGTGTGGGCTGTCTGGGACAGGTGTGAGTTCTCAAGGCATGAGCTGTGGGCAGGTGCCTTTATACCTCCAGGGTGGCTGGGGGTGTGGCTTGGGCTTCAGGATTGGCTGGCCATCCTCTTTACCTAGCAGGACAGGCATGGCCGCCTGGGGATCAGAGGTTCTGGGTCTGGGGTCAGCCCAGGCCTCTGCAGCATGGGGGTCTGGACTTGGGTGGGTGCAGAAGCAGATCTGTCCACTCTGTTCTAGTTCCGGCTGCCCATGGCTCCTGGGTGGGCCCAAAGCAGGGGAACCCACAAACACCTCACAGTGATAGCCCAGCTTGCCACCTGCACTGCTACCTGCCTCCCCAGAAGCTCCACCCCCTCCCACCCATCCACCTGTGACTGTCCTCAGGATTCTCACGCCTAGCACTCCTCTGCCTCTGCCCAGGGTCCCACTCCAGCCCAGCCTCCCTCTGTTGGGGTCCAGGAAGTGAGGTGAGAGGTCAAGGCTGGGCAGGGCCTGAGCAGCAACTCTGAGGATGAAATCAGAGCGAGGACATTTGTGATCTGGGTGGTCACAACAGCTGGTGGGCAAGAAGCCTCCCCCCTCCCACACTGTGTACCGTGGGGCAGGGACCAGGGGCCGAGGGAGACCCGGGTCCAGCAGAGGATCGCAGAAGCTTTCCTGGCTTTTGCCAGTCGGCATGGGGCTCTAGTCCACCACAGGGCAAAGGCCCGGGCGAGTGTCAGTGTTCACCCAGGGCTGAGGCTAGAGTGGAGGGAGGTGAGGGGACTACACCAAAGCCGGATGGGCCAAGCAGGTAGCCAGCTCACCTGAGCGCCCATTGTGAGCGGAGGTGTACTGCCCACTGCACTCCAGATGACCAACCTGGGTCCCTCCAGTGGATGTCGGCCCCTCCCCACCCTTTCTGCCACGGTTAGGCTCTCCTCCCAGGTCCTGAGGTTTCCCTGCCTTCTGCCTAGCACAGGGGTGGGTGCACCAGTGCTGCTGAACTGGGGATGTGGGCCCCACTGCTAGCGAGAACCCAGGTCCTGAGGTTGGAGCCCACACACAGGCCTGTAGAAAGGCACAATGTGAGAGGGACCGTTCTAGGGCAAGGGATGCCCCTGCTCCTCGGGGGCCCACCCACCTGCAGAGCCCACTGACCACCTCAGTGGACTGGGCATCAGAAGCCCCTGTGGTGTTGCTCCCCAAAATCCTGGTGCTCAAGGACAAGACTCCCAGGGCCTGAGGGAGAGCTGGGGGGTGATGCCTGACCAGAGGGGAACCTGACCTCAGGAAAAGACCTAAGCTTCCCTATCTGGTCCTTGAGTGGAGAGAAATCTCAGGGCCAGGAAAGGAGACGGGGGCCCAGAGAGAGGGCCCAGATAGGAAGCAGGGGAACAGAGAGCAGTTGGGGTCCTAGAGAGGGGTGGGGCCCCAGGGAGGGGGCGGGGACCAGAAGGAGGTAGTGCCTAGAGAGGGACTGGCCCCCTGAGCAGGGTCAGGGGCTCCTGGGGTGCCGTGACCAGCCCCTGGGGCCAGTTCTGCGAGCCAAGTGACTCAGCATCACAAGCCCTCCAGGAAGTAGACTCCTGGCTGCCCGAAACCTCCTCCCCGGCTCCTGTGAATATTGCCACTGTGAGGTCACCGGGCTCCGCAGGGGACAGTCAGTACCCAGAGGCGAGTGTGACATAGAGGCCCAAGGAATGTACCAGACCTTGCTGCAGAGGTGGGGCCAGAATCCCTGCCTTCCCCCACCTGGGCCTGGGGGAGTCCCACCCAGCAGTGAGGGGACTTGGCAGGCTGTGTCCAGGGCAGTGGGTGGGGCAGGAGTAGGCAAGCGAGTGAATGGGGTGTGTGCACCAGCACCCTAACAATGGCTGAGTGAGCATTGTGCATGCATGAAGTGTATGGGTGCGTGTGTGCACACAGGGTCTGCCTCACTCTCTCCTGTCTCCTCTCCCCCTACCCCTCACCCTGGGGGCTCCCTGGGCCAGGCTCTCACTCATCCCTCCCCACCTAATGTGGGTGGCAGAGAGAGGAGCTGTCCTTGTGCAGGTGAGTCCAGGAGAGCATGGCCTTGAAGGGGCACCCTGAAGCCCATGGTTCACGGCTCTCCCACTCCCAGGGCCACGGGTGAAGCTGGTCTCCCATTTCTGACAATGCTGTACTTGGCTCCGAGCCAGGGTGTGCCTGGTGCTGGTCATTCTGCTGACTGCCCACCCTCCCCGAGTTGCTGCACCTGAGGCTGTCTGCATGTCCCAGTGGCTCTGCTGGCTCCAGGCTGGGATGCTTTCACGCAGCCCAGGTATGGATGGAGGTAGAAGCCGGAAGGGGAAGGTAGGCTCTGGGGTGGAAGGCACACTTGGGTCTGCCCTTTGCCCCACCTTCTGGGGCTGGCACCAGGCCTGGTCCCCAACCTCTGGAAAAGAGCAGCCTGGACAGCATTGTCCCTTTTGTACTCAGCAGTGAAACTGCAGTTCCCAAAGATCTCTTGATAGCCCCTGCTCAGAAGCCCCATCTGCTGAGCCTGATACTCACCCCACTGAGGCTCAGAGCCCAGGCAGCCCCCAGACCCAGGCCCCATCTAACTGTGCACCCACCACCCGACATCACTCTCAGGTCCACCCGAGTCCTTGCTCAGCTGCTCCTTCCCTGGTCAGCTTGGGCACCTCCCCCAGTGCTGCCCAGGGAACACTGAATGAGCAGGTAAGGGAATGAAGGGCGGGGGGCTGGGCTCTAGGGAAGAATGTGCAGGGGGCTGTCGTGACCTGTTTCCAATTCTGGTCATGGGTGGGGGTGAGGGAGAGGTCCCTGGTCAGCATGAGCGAGAAGGGTCTGGGCAGGGGTTGCTCAGGATGACCAGAGAGGGAGGGGGCCTTCTCTGTCTTCCACAAAATGTCCCTTCCTACCTGCCATCAGAAATCATGTTGGTGGGGCTGGGGTTGTGCCTCAGTGCCTAGCACGTGAGAGGCACCAGGTTTGATCCACAGTACCACATAAAAGTAAATAAAAATAAAGGTATTGTGTCCACCTACAACTAAAAAAGTATTTTGAAAAATCACGTTGGGGTCCCTCAGTCTGGCCAAAGCACCTGTCCTGCTGCAGGTAGCTCAGGATGGCATGGCCTGGGGAGGTCCCGGGTGCAAAGAGGCACACTGGGGCCAGACTCCCTCCTGTGGTTCTCGCTGCTCCTCATGTTCTGTCTCCAGGGTGGGGTCCTTTGTTCCCAGAACAAGGTGATGGGGGGTAGGCCTACTGGGGGCCTTGTTCCCAAGCACTTCTCAGATAGGCAGACCTCAGGCTGGGCCTTTCTGAGGCTGGGCGGCAGCAGGTATCTGAAGACACAACCCCCAGTCCATAGTCTGGGCAGAGGGGCTGGGGCAGGGCCAGGACTCTGGGCATTCCAAGTGTTAGGTGCTCTGCCCTCCTCTGGGCAGACTCTCAGTGCTTGCTCCAGCTTGCCCTCCTGGGCCAGTTCTGCTGCCCATCAGCAAATGCCTCCATGCCCACCAGCCTCCCAAAGAACTGTCCACCTGTGGGCTTGAGGAGGGACTGCTGCCCTGGGCTCAAGTGGCCAGGACACGGGGGTTTCCCCAAGGGTGAGTCAAGCCCATAAACTGCTATTTGTAGCCTCATCCTGAGGGTTTTTGGGGTGTGAATGAGGCCTGGCCATCCCTGCCAGGTCTCCATGGCCCTGTCTGCATGCCCCGGCCAGGCCTGGCTCTTCTCCACAACAGCCCATCTTGGGTCCCAAGGAACCTTGGGTGGCCCTCTCCAACAAGGGGATTTGGAGCAAGCGGTCTTTGGGGGGACACCCTGAGAGCTGAAGGGGTGAATTCAGGGGTGGGCCCTTGGCAGGAGCCAGGCAGCCCCTGATTTGAGGCCCCTGACTAGGAACTAGATAGTAGCACTCCTGGAGTCTGCTGTCTCCCTGTCCCCTGCATAGGGCAGTGGGGTGGGTGGTGCCGGCCTGGAAGGGGGTGGCAGCCACACACATTTAAAAAACAGATGACCCTCAGGACCCTAAGAAGGCAGGGAAGGAGAAGCTCTGAAGAGTTTACTCGACTCGACTTCAGATGGGCACCCCACCCCTGTGGCTGGGCCAGTGGCTGGCCAGCCTCAGAGACCAAGTCCACCACTCGCGGATGATGAGCTGCACACAGAATCACAGTGCCAAGAGCACAGCCATGTCCCCAAGAAGTGGGCCAGGCTCGATGGAAATGAGGCAGGACACCTGAGGACAGTGACAGACCCACTAAGTGCTGAGCCCAGCACACAGGAGGCGGCCACCATCGAGCCTCCTCTACAGGAAGCCCTGGCTGGTGGCCCCAGCCAAGCTAGCCATGTGCAGGCAGTGTCTGGTGGCCTGGGATGGCTGGGACAGGACCACCAGGCAAGGGCCGCTGGCCAGCATGCCTTCCACAGGCCCAGAGAACCTGGGGATTCAGATGAGGAGGACCCATGTGTGGACACTTCGCTGCAGGTGCCCGGCCTGGGTGTCTGCTGGCCAGTGTGTCAGGCCTGGGGTGCCAGGCCTGGGACTGCGACAGCAGTGCCTCAGGGAACTCAGTTCTGTAGCTCCTGAGGGTGTGGCTGTGGCCTCCCAGCCACCACAGGAGCAAGACGACCTGCAGGCCTGTCTTCGGCAGCCGGCTCACAGCTGCATCCTGCCTGCCGGCCAGGCCTCAGCTTCACTCCTCTTAGAGGGGTCTGTGGGGGCCACTGGGCTGGGCGGTCCTGGAGGGGTCCTGCTACCACGGACTCCAGAGGGTAGAGCCTCCCCTGGTTTCTCCAGGTGCAAAGCAGCCTCGGGACCCCTGCCGTCTCCTAACAGTTCTGGCTGTGTGGGTCTGGCTGTGGCCTGAGCCCCCCGTCTCACATCTGCCAGCTCCTGTGGGTCAAACCAAGCCGTGCGGATGGAGCAAAAGGCCTTTCAAGAACCAGTGGGTGGGTTCCCCTTCAGCCTGTCACTCACTGGGAGCCAGGTCTGGCCTGTCCCCAGCCCCAGGTGACAAGGCCTTTGTGTGGGGGGCTCATTGAGGGGGCGTCCTCCAGCCTCCAAGCTGCAGGCAGTGCAGTCTGGATCAGCTTCCAGGTCAGACGTGGCTGACTCGGGCCTCTGCTGTGGAGAAGGCAGAAGGGTCCACGGCCCGGTCCAGAGGCCGCTCGCGCCTGACATATCTTGGTTTTCGCACTGAAATGGGGTCAGAGATGAGCTATGTCAGAGCCAGGGACAGAGGCTCAAGGACGGCAGAGGATGTAGCTGGAGGAAGAGCCCAGCGCTCCTGCCCTTAGAGCTCCCACAGGCTCCCACTTGTCAAGACACAGTTCCTCCCGCCAGATGCCCCCGGGAGCCTAGCCTGGCTGTTTCCCATTAAACCCTGGGGCCCTGCACCCCCACATCTGGGCCTGGATCAGGGCCCGGCTGTCCCTTAAGTCTAAGGTGCAGGCATTATGCATTTCAGAAAGGTCTGGGAAGATGTGATTTAGATCTCAGATGAGACCCTCCTGCCTCAACCAGGTGGGCCCTAAATGCCATGACCAGTGTCCTCCTCAGGGGGAGGCAGAAAGAAAAAAGACATGAGGGAGCAGAGACAGAGGGGATGCAGCCACAGCCCAGGGACAGCTAACTGCCTAGGAGCTGAGAAGGAAGGAGGGTCCCACAGACCTGGGAGCCAGGGTCCCCCTCTCCCACTCCTTGTTTTCTAACTCCGACTTGAGAGCGGTCAGAGCGCTCCTGCTGTCTAAGCCACCTGGGGTGTACTCTGCCATGAGGCTGCTTCAGACCTCAGCCAAGTGCTGCCTGGAACAGGGTAGGCTGGGCCTTAGTTAGGAACTGCTCTGCCCCAGAGGAGAGGAACACGCTGCCTGTCCCCACCAGACCTCTGCACAGTGGCAAGAGCATGGCCTGGGGAGGGAGGCTGGGTGACTCTGCTCTGGGCTCACAGCTTCACAGTCTCCTCTTATAGTGGGTCACAACTGGGTGGGGGTGCTGGTGGGTCCAGACCCAGGGGCGGACCTGCTCCCTGTACCCTTCAAGCAGAGATGGACTTGAGCAGGGCTGGAGGAAGTGCAGGGGAAGGTCTGGCCCTGTGCTGGGTTCTCCTCTCTCGGTCTCAATACCTGAAGAGGAAGGGACAGCACACAGCCATGTAGGCTGGTGGGCACCAGGGGTGCCTGTCAAGCGCCTGTCCCTCCTTCATGTAGTGGTCTCCTTGGGACCCAGGAGGTGGGCATGTGTGTCTAGGGACAAACCTGTAGAGGTCCCTGAGTCTGGCATTTGGAAACTGGCCCAGAGACAAGAACCCCCGGGTGACATAACCTGTCTTTACCTGAGGACTGTGGTGGGGGGATCATGGCAGCCTTGAAAGGAGAGAGAGGCAGAGTGAGATCTTGGGTGCTCAGCATGGGACAGGAGCCCAGGACGCTCAGCCGGGAGGGTGCAGATTACTTACGACTTCGCCAGGCTGCAGGCCTGGGGCTGCAGAAGAGAATAGCACATCACCCTGGAGCCCAGCAGCTGCCTGCATCCAGTGAGGTCCACAGCAGGCAGAGGCTCTTCCCAGGATCCAGGCTGGGTCTGGGACCACTTCCACACTTCTGCCCAGCAGTGCCCTCAGCTGAGTCTCAGCTGGGCCACATTCATGGCCTGCACCTGGGGCAAGCCACTCAAGCATCCCAGGAAGAGCCACCTCCCAGAAACCTCCCTCCCACTTTCCCAGAGCATACAAGCCATGCTCCTCAGGTGCTTTCTCTGGCTCAGAGAACCCAGTGTGGGGGACAGAGACCCCTCCATCCTCTGGGTTCCCAGAGGTGCTGCAAGTGGGGCAGTGGCCATCAGCCCCAAGTTATTCATAAGGGCATGGTGCCTCCACTGGGGTTCCCTGGGCCACCTGAGATGGCCACACCCAGGTCTACTCTGCTCTAGGGATGGCCTGGAAGGCAGAAATGCTGGGTGGGCATTTCTGGGAGCACCTAACTTGACTGGAGACCCCAAGACTCCTACCAGCAGCAGCAGCCCAGCCTTGGACTCAGAAGCTACAGTAGCCCCCAGAAGCACCCAAATGTTGGTGGAGGGTAGGCAGAGAGGGGTCCTGGCACTTGCTCTGTCCCTTTGGGCACCACCTAGGCCCCTGAGTGGGAGAGGAGGGGTGAAGTACCTTTGTCTCTCCTGTAGAAGACCCTGGGGAGCTTACTGGAGCGCTTGAGGTAGAAGAACCCAGCCACAGAGAGGATGAGGCCTGCGCTGACGAAGAAGGTCCCCAGGAAGAGGGAAGCTGCCACGTGGGAACCCCCTGCAGGCAAATCAGCCGCTCTAGTGGCCAGTCCCAACTGTGGCATGCCAGGGGCCCCGGGTCCACGCCCAACCCAGGCCACCATTCCTGAACACACCTGAGCCCTCTCAGGGGGCAAGGGGCCAGCACACCTGGACACAGCCCAGGCTTCCTGGGGAGAGGGAGGGGGAAGTAAAAGGGACAGAAGCCTTCATGAATCCCATGCCCCGGAAGTTCACACCCTAGGCTCCCCCGAGACCGTGCAGGGTCACAGCTCCAACCTGCAGCAGGTGCTTCTGCCGCACTCTACCTCTCAGGTGCTGGCAGCTGCTCCTTACCCATCTGCACCTGCTCAGTGTCAGGACAGGATGGCTCAGGGCCAAGGACTGTGGACCATCTGTGACCATGGATGGAGGCGATGCTTTAGGTGCCTGGGGAAGCCACTTTTTTACCCTGAGGCACAGGTGCCCTTGCCAGACCCAGGGCCTTGCCATCCAACTAGCCCTGTGCTATAGGAGGCCATGAGCTGTCAGAGCTGGCCCTTCCCCATGGGCCACTGCTCTGTGCTGCTGGCTTCTGCGGTCCAGGCCAGTGCTGGGCCTGAGGCCACCTTGGAGCTGAAACATATTTTCTGGGGAGGGGAAGGCCAGGCTCAAATTCCTGGGAAGAGCTGAGCCTCTCAGAACAGAACTCTGAGCCTAAGATCTAGGACCCAGGCCCAGCCCAGGGCTGCCAGAGGAGGGGCTGGGATGATGTTCCCCACAGCAACTCCGTCACCTCAAGCAAAGGAGGCCACCTTGCTCTGGAGCTGGGTTCACTCCCTGACTGTGGTGCCCTCCCGCTGGGTGCTGGCCCCTCTCCCAGCTCCTGCCTTGTCCGGATCTTCCCTCTCACCTGGTCCCACCCTCCCCAGCCACTCCTAGCCACACTCCCACCTCTGGCCTGACCAGGCCCTCAACTCAAGTAGACTGCAGGCCAGGGAGAAGTGACCACCTAGAGACAGGGAACGTCCCGAGGACACTGCTGTGGCAGGCATTTCTGTGTGGCCCATATGCCTGCAGTCTTAGAAGCCTAGGCCCTGGAGAAACCACTTGGGACGGGCAGACTCCTGCTGGGGCCTGAGTTCACAGGGGCCACGGCAGCCATGGAATGAGGCAGGGACCAGACAGAAGGTGCGGCAGGGAAGGCTTCCACCAACAGCCCTTCTGAGACCACGGAGGATATGGCACCCCCCACACCAGGGCACACCCAGTACCTGCCACACTCAGCCCACAGACCTCAGCCTCACGAGCCACTGGATTCTCAGAAATCCCTCTTTCATGGTCAGGGTCCCTGTCACAGAGCGCATGGCTGGGTCTGAAGTCTGATCGTGACCTCCAAGGTACCCTGCTGTGGCCCATCAGCTGTCAGGGTCTGTGCTGCCATGGCTCTAAGGAGCCTCTACCCCAGGCCTGGCTCTGGCCTGGTGAACTAAGACTTACCAAAATGTGGCCGTCCAGGCAGCCCTGTGCTTCTGTTCATGGGGAACTGCGCACCCCAGGCAGCAACTGTGGGGAGCAGAACAGAGGGGAGGCCAGGGCCAGGCACAGGACCCGAGCAAGACCCCGACCTGCCTGAATCTCAGACCAGACACTAGAGAGCCCTCGCCCCACCGCTGCTCCTCATGGACATAGGACTCAGGAAGAAAGGGCTCCTGGGGGCTATTTGCTGATGGAGAGTGGTTCTGTGGGGACAAGGGCAGCCACTCCAGTTTCCCCAAAACTGGAGATGTGGACCCCTGTGAGAAGTCCGGGACCTGGGAGGAGTACGGGGAGCAGTCTGGGAGACATACGGCTTCTGCACTCCGAGCTGTTATAGGTCAGCACCGTCCCGTTCCTGCACCGGATGCAGCTGGTGCTCCCGTCCGCGTTCCAGCGTCTATAGCAGCCTACACAGGAGGCAGGCGGCTCTCAGTAGAGGCAGAATCCAGGCCAGTTCACTGTATCCTGGGGCATTTCTGTATCTTTTGAGTTTATAAATCAACCGTCACTCAAAACCACGGACACTGGAAGTTTGGGTGGAACAAAAGGCTAACTCCAGAGAAGGAAAGAAACACACAGGAAGCACGTCACTCTGGCCCCCGATTCCTGTGGAGGCTGGTGCTGAGGAGGCCGCATCCTTTGCTGAACACCTTAAGACACAGCCCAGAGGCTGGTGATGGGAATCTGAGATTAACAGTGTGGTGGCCGCATGCTCTGGAGGTCTGGAGGCCTGGCCTCCACCTCCCGCCACCCAGGCTCAGGGACCTCGGCTCTCCCAGGACCACTTCCTTCAGGGCATGCGTGCAGCTGCCTCAGGCACTCCACACTCACTGGGACCCACTCAGGGCAGATGCAACCCTCATCTGCCCCCCCCAGGGTCTCCCTGCAGGATCAAGCCAAATTTCCATATCAGACTGTCACTACCTGAAGCCCCACCCTCTCCCTGCCCAGGTGCTGGAGTGGCCTAGCTCCTACTGGCCAACAGCATGTGAGCAGCTGTCTTCCAGCTTCCTGTAAGGGTAGCGACTGGGTATTATTCCTGTACTTCTTTCCAACATTCAACACAGCACTGAGGCCAGAGACACAGGGTCCATAAATACTGATCGTGGGTGTTGAAAGCTAGCACTGGACATGAGCTGTATTGGGGCTAAACCATTCTTGTCCTCACCACTGAAGAGGGGCAGGCGGGGACACATGCCTACCATGGGCTGGTGGCTTGGTAGCTGTTCAGGGGACTGCTTATGACAAAGTGGCTCACCTGGGCCACACAGGCCTGTGCTTGGGCATGTAGTGTTGGCGTCCATCACGTCCACACAGCACTCAGGCTGCTGGGCCTGGAGGGGTGACAACAGGCAGGCTCTGCAAGGGCAACACTGTCAGTCCACTGTGAGCATTCATGGCTCTGCCTCTTCTAGTCAGCCACAGGCTCCCAGCGTCCCCCTTGGCCTAGAAGCAGGTGAGGACACATGCCTGCCCCTGCAAGAGCCCCACTCTGGGCAGTCTCCAGGGAAAACTTCAGGGCAGTGCAGAACGAGCCAGGGAGACCCAATGCAGCAGGGTGGAGACTGGACTACTGACCAGACATCTCAAGAGCCACTGTTCCATTCTCCCCCGGGGCCCTGGGCGCCCCTCCAAGGGGAGGATAGCACTGTCTGAGCGGTGCAGGGCGAGTGGCCATCGAACACTGGGTGACCACCTGACCCACCAGACAGGTTCCACAGCAGCCTCCTCACTCCCAAAGGCCAGGCAGGAGAGGCCCTGGGAGCCAGAATTCTGTGCATTTGAGAAAGAGCAAAAGCAGGTCTCTCTGACCTCCTCTGCCCTCTGTCCCTCAGGCAGACCAGGAGACCCCAGGGAGAGGGCCTTGCCCATGCCCCAGGAGAGGAAGATGCAGAGAAGAGTCTTGACCAACCCGCCTGGACAGATCCTGGTTCATGGCCATCGATCACACTCTCCATCCAAGCCCACTTGGTCAGGACCATCCCTCTTCCTCAAGCCTCGCACAACCACTCAGCATCCCCGCTTCTCCGGGACACCGGTTCCTGAGGAAGGCCCCCACGTAATGCTTTCTCTCATAGTCTGTCCCTTGTCGCAGGAGCCTCAGTCACACGGCTGAGGAAAAGACACTTCCTCACTACGGGGGTAGGAAGGTGTCCAGCCCCACCTGGGGAGATGTCCCAGGCTGTGAGCGTCCACTCATGGGGTCTCCTCTCCCTGCCCCTGAAGACCCCACTAGGGAAGCTGAGGTGGCCAAGGCCCCTTCTCCACAGGGTCTCCCTGGTCGGGGCAGAGCTGCTCCAGCCTCACCTCTCACCTTGTGGGCCACAGGGAGAAACAGGGCAGACACTCCTGTCAGTGAGTCATTGATATCGTCACTCCAGGAACTGTAGTGCCAGTTCTAATGACACTGTCTTGAGAAAAAGGACACTCTTCTGGACCACGATGAATACTGGAGGCTGGCCAGGGCCTTGCCAAGGCTTGGCATGACCAACATACCCCCACAGGGATGGGCACTTCACTGATGCCCTCTGCAATTCCACTTATGCCCCTTGATTTTGCAGCTTGGTCTCAGACATAAGTGCCCAGGCCAGGTCAGCCGTTCAGGGGAAATGAACTCATGCCCAACCCTTGAACCCATGTATAATACACATGCTGAGCGCTGGCCTTCACTGACAGCAGGGCAGCTGACAGACCTTGAGGCAGGGGGTCCCCAGGTGTGACTCTATTGTCACTGCTGGGCCATTGTTTATTGTGACTTTAGTTTGGTGAATAGTGAGGGGCATCTGAGGAGTGTGAGTGACACAGGGCAGCATCAAGGCCACACAGGAGGGGCCGAGGCCCAGTAGCTGCACCCTGACACTAGCCTGGGCCCGGTCAGTGAGGGATGCCCCACCCTCTTGCCACCCGGCCCTGGCTCAGCTCTTCTGGACACCAAAGCTCAGCATACTGGAGTGTCACCAGCTTGGCAGAGCCATGATACCCCACTGTCGCTCTCCTGAGCAAGTAGCAAGTGGGCAGGCAGCTCCAGGCTGCATCTGCAGAGACCCTGTGCACTCTACAGAAACAAGTAGTTCTGGCAGTCTTCTAGAAGGTAGAACCAAACAGCCACCGTATGGGGGCATGTCTGCTGCCCTCTTCAAGACACAAGCCCCTTGGACCCCAGCAGGGAACTCCATCATCCCTCGGGCTGAGTGCCAAGACTCCTCAGGTTAAAGGGGAAAGGCCCACTGCCTCCCTGGAGGATGGCCACCTGGACATGTGACAGGAACACCAACCTCACTTTCTGTGGACTTGCTGGCAACTCCCACCAGAAGGCCAGCCAGGAGCGTGAAGCGTTGCAGTGCCATGCCAGGAGCAGGAGGACAGCGGGGCCTGCGAGAGAGGAGGGCAGTGCCAGGGACACAAGCAGGAAAAGAAGGGAACATGTCAGGGAGGTGGAGCCATAGTTGGAAGGGGCGGGGCTGCAAAAGGAGCAGCTCTGAAGTGGCAGGTGCACTGAGAAAGGGGAGGGGCTGCAATGCCAGGGAGAGTGCCCAGAGCTGGGGAGGACCTGGCAGGCTTGATGGGCTGTGGCAAGCAGGGGCATGCGCACAGGTCCCTGCCTTGTGAGGTCTGTGGGTGCGGTCCAGGGCACCCTTACCTGCCCCTCCAGGATGAGAGCTGCAGACATCAGCTCCTCACCCACGTGCTCAGTAGAAAGCCTGGCCAGAGAGCGTGGAGTTCATGGGCCTGACCGTTGAGCTCTGCAGGCCCAGGGTCCAAGGCCTGTGAATCAAGACCATTAGGTGAGGCCTGCTGCTGGTCACTGTAAAGACCACTTTCCCAGCAAGGTGAGTCCAGAGTTGGTCAGAGGGGCATCCTGACCTCTCTCCAACAGGTTCACTGGGTTGGCATTTGCAAACGAGGTCACTGCATCTCTGGTCTCCCAAGACCAGATGACGCCTCTCCAGGTTCTGTTGGAGTTTTGGGCATGGTCACCCAGACTTTTTCCCTGCAGGTGGCTAGGTCCCTAGGGCAGGCAGACATGGGTCCAGAATAATGCTAGAGTTCAAAAAGTTCTAGTCCTGGGCGGGACTCAGGGAGCAAACACATCGCAAGGAGACGTCTTCACCCTCACTCCTGACACCTGACCATCATGTGGCTTAGTAGTCACACCATCTTTATTGTTTCTTGGTACTGGGGATTGAACTTGGGTGCTTTACCACTGGGCTGTATCCCCAGTCCTTTTTTTTAAAGACAGGGTCTCATTTAGTTGCTGAGGCTGACCTAGAACTGGGGATCCCCCTGCCTCGGCCTCCCCAGTTGTTGGGATCCCAGGTCAGCAGGTCTGGCTTCACCTCACATTTGTAACATGAGAGAGCATTAGCAGCACCCACCACCCAACCTTGAAGTGATATCATCTGTACTACTTTTTTTTTTAGTTGTAGATGGACATAAGATCTTTATTTATTTTTACGTAGTGCTGAGGGTGGAACCCAGTGACTCACATGTGCGAGGCAGGCGCTCTACCACTGGGCTACAGCCCCAGCCCCCATTTGTATTACTTTCAACACATTTCACTTAACTCACAGGGTGACTCTCATGGCGTAACGTCCCACACACTGCTGGATACATATTTTCACGTTAGTTACCTCCAGGAAACTGCACTTAAACACAGCTGCGGGGTGGGAGCAGCACACTGTAGGACACCTTGGCACCGAGGACACTTCCACAGCAGCAGTCCCCACTTCCCTTCCAGGCAGGTCCTCAGGAAGAATGCAGAGATGTTCCAGTTCGAGGCTGGGGAATAAGGAACGGTGCTCTCCGACTGGCCCAGGGCAGTGGGCAAGTTCCCCCTTGGGGATCCTGGGGAGAGGACTATGGGGTCCACACAGCCCACAAGGCAAAGACTGAGGGCACAAGCTCTGGTCCCTTGACAGGGAGGGGCCCACATCTGTCCTGTAATTTGCTTTATGCCGGATTCATCCAGGTCTGTTGGCAAAGTAACCACACGGTATGGTTCACAGTGTCCAGTCCTGAGGGATGGTTTTCTATGAAGCCAGGTCCAGTGCCCTCCTGCCTACAGCAGCGCTTGCCTTTTCTGGAAGAGTGCCAGCGATCCACCCCACTAAAAGTGCACACTTCCTGAAGGCCTCCTTCACGGCTAGTCCTTAGATGGTGCCCCTCACCTACAGGATGTGGGAGTCTCATCCTTCCTTTTTGTCCATTTAACATGTGCTCAGTAGATCTCCCCATGCCCTGGGGAGAACTGGGGTCAGGGTCCCTTCTCACTTTCTGGGAGAGGTAACCAGGGCCAGGTCAAGTCACAAAAGGAACCAAAAGTCCAAGACTCCAGTCACACTGGCACTGCTTAGTCAACTTTATTGAGGTTCGACTGGCACACAACACACAACCTGGAGGTTCTGGAAAGCTGTGCACAACACACATCTGTGAGACCGCACCTCATCAGGGCATCTGCAGTGCAGCCCTCTGCAACCCTCCCCCCTGCAAACCCTGGCCCCGGCACCCACTGACTGGCTATCACCACAAATCTGCTTTCTAGAATTTCTTTGGTTTTTTTTTTTGGTCCCAGGGATTTAACTCAGGGGTGCTTAACCACTGAACCACATCCCTAGCCCTTTTTTGTATTTTATTTAGAGACAGGATCTTACTGAATTGCTTACTGTCTAGCTAAGTGGCTGAGGCTGGCTTTGAACTCGCAGTCCTCCTGCCTCAGAGTCCCAAGCTGCTGAGATTAAAGGCATATGCCACTGCACTGAGCTGTATTCTAGAATTTCTTACAAAGGGGTCACTTAGCAGGTATAGCTTTGTGTCTGGCTATGTCACATGGCACAGGGCCTCTGGAAGTGCCTTGTTGATCTGCACATCTGTGCCTTTCAGTGGCTAAGTGGCACTCCACCCAGGGAGGCTGGGCCTCCTCTCCCTCACCACTGCCCACCCCTGTCTAGGGTGCCCCTCAGTTCTTCCCTGGCCTTGCAGTAAACCTGTTCTGACCACCATCCCAGCCTTGCTGTACTTGTCTCTGTGCTGGGCAGCTGCTCTGCTCTCAGACATCACTCCACAGCCAACTCAGCTCCAGGGTGCTCCATTGCTGAGGCTGTGCATACACAGCCAGAGGTCAAGCCACAAGAACCTGCTTCTGACAACAGTGTGGGCAGTTCTAGTCACACGCATATCCACGTTTGAGAATCAGCTTGTCAGTTCACAGGAAAGGCTTGCATGAGTTCTGCAGGGAGGACTGGTCTTCCAACCACGTCAAGTCCTCCACTTCAAACACGTCTCCCCCACGCTAGGTCACTTCAGTTTCCCACAGCCAGTGCGCCGTGTTCTCAGTCAAGAGGTTTTGCATATCTTTAGTTAGACTTACTACTAAATACTTTATTTCTTGGTATGATTATAAACAGAAAAGAACTTCTGATTTCATTTTCTAATAGTTTGCTGTTAATACATAACAGAACAGTTGATTTCTGCATATAAACTTTTATTTCCAAGATCTTCGTGATTTTATTTAATATACTCAGCCTTTTTTTAATATTTCTTAGGATCTCTACATAACCACATCACTTGCAAATGCAGTTTTACTTGTCCTCTATGATCTGATGAAACCAACCTGGTTTTTACCTCTGACCTTACTGCCAAGGTAAGGGCTCCAGGCGCAATGCTAGCTGCTTGATTTTAGGGATAAAGTACTTCACGTTTTCCACTGCCAAGTACAACATCTAGTGTAGGTTTCCACAGATGCCTTTTATCACACAGACAAAGCTCCCTTCTCCTCCTAGTTTGCTAAGAGGTTTTTCCTTCATCACGAAAGGGGTTTAAATGTTATTAAATGCCTTTTCAACATTTACTGGAGTGATCATGTGTTTTTTCTCCTTTTTAATATGGTCATTACATTATTTATCACTGTTCTATGGTTTTAGCCAATGTAGTAAAAAGAAAAGAAAAGCCATAAACATTAGAAAGGCTCAGCAACTTAGTAAGGCCCTATCTCAAAATAAAAAACAAAAACAGTCTGGGGATGTGGCTCAATGGTTAAGGACCCCTCAGAGTCAACCCCTGGTACCAAAAAAAAAAAAAAGGTTTAGAAAGGAAAAAGTAAAACTGTCCCAATACAGATGATACAATTGTTTACATATAATCCTAAGGAATTTACAAAACAGAACAAAACAAAAATCTCCACTGTAACTCACAGAACTCTGTGCTCTGCTTGGTAACTTTATTTCTAGAGCCTAAGGGATATGAGGACCAATTCTGAGGGTGCTCTGCATGCACACTGGGGCTGAATAAAGAAGGAAATGGGCTGCAGATGGTGGGCCTAACAGCATGTTCCAGGTTAGAGATTGCAGACACATAGATCTGAGTGTGTAATCAGCTCCATCAGCAGGTTCTGTCCACTGAGGCCCTAGAAGCAAAAGGAGCACCTGGGCCTTGATTCTCATATCTACCTCCCTCCCTCTCTCTCTCTCTCTCCCTCTCTCTGCTGGGGATTGAACCCAAGGCCTTGTGCATGTGAGGCAAGCACTTTGCCAACTGAGCTATATCCCCAGCCCCCTAGATTCTAGTTTCTAAGACCACCCTCCAATCTTAGGAATGAGGGCTCCCTGGAGAAGGGGCTGGTCCTGGGTCTAGGGCAGGAAACATAGGAGCAAGAGCCCAGAGTACCTTAGAGCATGAGAAAGAAAGTGCTCAAAAATCAAGACAGTAGCCAGATGAAAGTGCCCCAACACAAAGCTGAGACTACACAGCAGAAATACACGGCCGAGCCCCAAACCACAGCCAGTGCACAGTGCCACACTGGGGACAGTACACGAGCCACGGCCAGTGCAGGCACGTCCACGCTAGCAACAGTGCATGAACCACAGCCAGTGCAGGGCACGTCCACACTGGTGACAGTGCATGAACCACAGTCAGTGGAGGGCGTGTCCACACCGGCCACAGTGCATGAACCTGACAATGGAGGGTGCATCCATGCTGGCAACAGTGCATGAACCACAGACAGAGGAGGGCACGTCCACACTGGCCTCAGTGCATGAACCATGGCCAGTGCAGGGCGTGTCCATGCTGGCAACAGTGCATGAACCACAGCCAGTGCAGGGTGTGTCCATGCTGGCGACAGTGCATAAACCAGGGCCAGTGCAGGGCACGTCCACGCTGGTGAAAGTGCATGACTGATAGCCAAACACCACGAAAGAGACACTCTTTACAGAGGAATCTCAGATAGCATCCCCAGCATGGGCTGGACAGAGACTCACTGTAAGACAGCAGGGACAGGGGAAAGGAGCAACTCTGCAGCAGAGACACCTACAAACACCATCTCAACCAGGCCAGGGGTATTCTGTGGACGTCAGAGAGGCCCTAAAGGGGTGTGATGGGATCAGCACCTCACCTGATCACCCCGGTGCTCCTTCAGTCTGCCATGAGTGACGTGACAGTCCCTCATGTCAGTCCACCTGAGGAACCCAAACAGGATGTTCTAGAAACACCCCACCAAGCCTCTTCAGATCCTAAGAATTCACCAGAGTGAGACACAGCCACAGCCTGGGGAAGACACAGCAGCCAAACACAATGTGGGGTCCTGCATAGGGCCCTGGACGGGCAAAGCTGGGGACACGCACAGTGATGCCACTGCAGCCCCATAACTTATAAGGGCAGTAAGGTCAGGTGAGCCATTATCTCGGGGCAAGTGCATCTGTCCCAAAATAAGAGTCTAAATCTGTTCCAAAATAAGAAAATGTGAATTACACTACTGATAACATGAATAGGCAGTTCAAAGAATGGGACTCTGGAGGCCAAGGCAATTCAGTGAAGCCCCTCAAAATCTTAAAAATGATTGGAACATAGCTCAGTGGTAAAGAACCTCTGGGTTCAATCCCCTGTAGCTAAAAAAAAAAAAAAAAAAAAAAGAGTGTGGGGTGTTAATATTTGCAAGACAAATACTACCTAACAAAAGCCCTGTTTATAGAATACAGAAGAGACTGTCACAACTCAGTAATAAAAAACATGATGAAGCCTTATGAGACACTTCAGAACAGACATCTGAGCACATAATACACAGAAGAAAAATGCATGCCACCATCACACCATGGGAGATGAATGACAGACTCCAGGCACCTGGATGGTGGGGATGCAGAGCTGAGGAACTGCACACCTGGCCGTGGCGTGGCACTCCTGCTGTCTTCCCAAGAGAAAGAAAGACACATGCCCACAAAAACGGTCCAAAATTGCACATAACTTCTTTAGCCACACCAGAAATACACCCATATGGCTGAGTGGTGGGTGGCACAGCTGTAGGTGGGATGTGACTCCATGACACTACAGAAAGTGGTCAGGTCACAAACACTAGCTGAGGCAGGGTCCTGAAAGGCTTGAAAGGCAACCTCAAGGGATGAAAGGCAGGTTCTACACCTGACAGGAGCATGGGATAAGTGGGTGGATGTGTATATCAGAACTCATGGAACTGGATACAAGACCTGTGCCCCTCACTAGACATAAATTACACTTCAACAATTAACTAAATGCAGTTCATTTTCTACTTTGAAAATCTCAAGACCAAGCTTTCAACAACAAACTTAGCAACCCAGATGGGACCCGAGAGTAGCCCCTGCTCCAGCTTTCTTGGGCAGGCCTGGCTCTCCAAGGAACTCCATTCCCATGATGAGGATTCATGGTGCTGGTGAACTTGCTGACAGCCAACTGCAGGAGAGTTAGGGGACAGTATTGGTTGCTCCATCTTGGTCCACTTTGAGAAAAAGGAAACTGAACTCAGGACTAAGTCACAACTTTGGCCATCTGACTGGTGAAACAGGCTTGCTGGGTGATTAAAACCAAAAACTTGGAGACCAAAGTCAAGGAAGTAAAAGGGCCAAGGAAAAAGCAGCCAACATTTTGACCCTTGTCCTCTAAGGTCAGCCAGGACAGAGAATGACGGGATCCCTCTCTGGGTCCTGCAACTCTAGTGAGTCACTCCATCTGCTGATCAGGAAGATCGAGAGGACCCTAGAGAACAGAAAGCTCGGAACCGGTGAACTTACCCTCCTGATCTAAAATTCCATCTTGTGCTTTGACAGAGAACAAGCGCTGCCAGCCATCTGATGGGCTGTAAAAAAAGAAATTCTAGACCTCTGGTGTTGCTGCCACCAGAGCAGGGCTGGACCCGGGGCCTATCCAGGGTGGCTCCACACTAAGGGTGCCAAAACCGCAGTGATATGGTGGCAAGAGGTTGTTCTTTAAACAAGCTACCTGATAAACCCCAGTTAACAGGGAGAACAACCAGGATGGAGGGGGTGGGGGGGCCGCAGGTGCCTTCGGCACACAGGGATGCTACCTATGGACCAGATAGCTCAGGTGACTGCCTGTCAAGATGTTTGCTTACTTGGCTTTTGGGAAGACTATTGGGAGCAGGATGTGTCAGGAAAATAAAATCCAGATCTCGTTTCCTTCTATGAGCTACTAAAAATAAAGCAGCCATTAATCCTGGCCCAACACAAACTATTGGTCAGTAGCTCTTAGCAAGAAATAAAACAGGACAATGAGGTGCGCTGTGAAACTTCCTTCCCAGCCTTGACCGCCCAGGCTGGGCCTTCAAGCAAACACTGTCTGCCAGGTTTTCACCAGAGGAAAACCGTGGGGGAAGCGGTAGGGCTCGGCAGCAGAGCTCACACGGCCTAGCACATGTGAGGCCCAGGGTTCAATACCCAGCACCACAAAAGCCAACAACACAAACAAAAAAACGCGAAGAAGCCCCTCTCACTTCTGCCTTCCCTGTATACAACCCTAAGAGACAAACGACCACAAAAAGGACAAGTCTGACACCTTCAACTCTGCAGGGCTCTGCAGTGCAGAATTCAGCCGAGAGGTGCGGGGGCATTTGCCGACGTGCACTAAGAATCGCGTCCACACCCGGCCCAAGCTGCACGCTGAACGCCGCTTCGGCGTAGTGGACCAACAGAGCTGGAGACCCGAGTCGCTGACCGCACTACTGGGCAGCCCCGGGACCCAGGGCCGCCCCCGCCTCCTCCGAGCCCGCGCCCTGCCGGCTCCAGGGCGCCTCCTCGCAGCCCTCTGGCCCTGCGTCCGTCTGCGCGCCCACCGCACTTCCTCCCGGCTCCCGGGCGAGGCGGCGGCGGACTGCCGGACACTGGGGGAGTCCGCTGGGCCTCAGGCGGCGCGCAACAACCCCTTCCTCCCGGTCTTTGTCCGGCCTGCCGCCCCCTCCCGCCCCAGCCCTTCACTCACCCCGCGCCCCCGGGTTCCTCTTTCGTACCCCCCGCCCTGCGGACAGCCACGCAGCGCCACCTGGGACTTGTAGTCTCTCCTCCGTCCCCGCCGCGGCGCAGGCGGGTGCGGCTTCTGGAAGAAGACTACAACTCCCGGCGGCCCACGCAAGAGCCCGCTTGCCTGGTGGATCCGGCCAGAATTCTCGCGAGACTTAGGGAAATACGCACGGAGTGCTATGGGAAATGTAGTCCGGATGACTGGGTCCCGAGGGCAAAGAAGAACTACATTCCCTAGGATCCCTCGCGAGGCGGCTTTCGTGGGTGTTGCTAGGAGAGGTGCTCCGGGAGGCTGACGCCTCCTGCAGCCGCCTCGTGGGTCCACCCGCTCTCCGGCCCCTGAAGGACGCACCCTCGAAATCGTGACCCCAAGGCGGCCAGCAGAGGCACTACATCCTTAGGATATTTTCCTGGCTCTGGCGGGTCACCAAGCCGAGCTCCGGGGCGTGCCAGGGCCCTGCGTGCAGGCCTTGCTTGAACCCTGCCGCGAAGTCTGCTCCTGGCCACTTTGTCGCCCACCCCCGCCACGGTGGAGACGTCGGCGGCTTGGCAGCTGCGGTCCAGCGCGCTCCGGCCCCCCGGGGGGTGGTTGTCTCCGCGGGCAGTGCCAGGAAAGGACACGAAGGCCGGGAGGGTGTCCAAGGAGGAGGCGGGTGGACGCGGGCCTGGGTGGGCTGGCCGGCCGCGCCCAGGCGTGGAGCTGCCGCGCGAGCATGTGCTCGCCCTAGAGAGGTTGGGGACCTTGGCCTGGACCAGAAGGACCCAGCCCTCCAACGCTCTCCCGCACTCCTGTCTGGCATGAATAGATGGTGTCCGAGCTGGTGGAGCGGGTCCAGAGGGTCAGAACTGTCACTTCGTTGTATTCACTTCCCTGGACTCTACCTCATCCCCAATGGTTCTGGAGACTCAGGCATGGGGGCGTTGTGCTTCCCACGGCCAGCCCTGTCCACCGGAGTCCTAGGGTGGCAGGACTGTCTGGCATCCTGGGCTGGCCTCCCAATAGGATAGGAGTTCTGCCGTGTGGTCCCGGACTCTGCCTCAGAGCTGCTCCAGAAAGAAGGTGTGTGCTGGCCCCCAGGTTTGTTTTTGGCCAATATTTGTAAAGGCTCTCCCTGAAAAGATCATTTGTGTGTATGCTAATCAGATGCTTGGATCACTGCCCCTGGGAAACCCAGGAGGGCCTGCCCGTCAGGCCCTCTTTCCTGACCCAGGGGTGGAGAGATGGGTGTTGCAGGCAGTTGGGGCTCAGGGGCCACAGGAGGTTGGTGCCTGCCCCTCCCAACTCTCTCAACCCGGCAGCCTCTTTCCTAGCCAACCTCTGCCCAGTGGCTGTCCAGCATTAGCCCTGAGGTTGGCTGTCCCCTTGGTGGAGGCCACCTCAGTACTTTTGTCCCAAGTTTAAACGTCTAGAGATTTCTGTGGAAATAGAGCTCCAGTTGTACAGTGATAGCATGTTTTCTAAGGAGGAGTATCAGGCACCAGAGGGAAATCATTAGACTCCCAGGGCCTGTGTGGCAGCAGTTGACGTCATCTGTCTCTAAGTATCATCCTGGAAATGGCTATAAGTGCTTCTGGCCACCAGTGCTTAGGTGAGTGTGCAGAACCACAGGATTCCCTGAGCACTGTGGGTTTCGGAACAGTGCAGCTGTGATGGTGACAGTGAAACCTGTTGGGAGCAGGGTCGCTCGTGTGCAGCATCTGGTCAAGAGGGACTGTTGGGGGAAACTGGCATTGATGGACTGTGGGGAGAGTGCCACCCATACCTGCCCCTGGGAAACCAGGCGACGCCACAGGGCTGTTGCTGTCTGCAGAAGTTTCTTTGGGCCTGCACCTGTTTTCTGAAGACCGTGGACACTGAAGCCGCATTTCATGGTTGTGGGTTTCTTTTTCTCAGCCCCAGTCCCCCCCCCCCAATTCTTCCTTCTGATCTTTTGATTATTCATAATTGATTGATGCTTTCTATACATGCATAAAGATGGATTTTCTGTGGTGTATTTGTATGTGTAATTTATATGGTTTTGTTAACACCACGCCGTGGCCCCTCCCCTTTCCCCTCCCTCCTCCCCCTTCTCTGTCTTCTACTCCATTGATCTTCCCTTTATGATTTCTAATCCCCTGCTTCTTTCCCTATTTTGCTCTAGCTTCCACTTATGAGAGAAAATATCGACCTCAGGGTAGAGCACCCCTGGGTTCAACCCCCAACACCACTGGATGAGTTCTTGCAGAGGGTGTATGTCTGGGTGGGAGGGCTACATCAGGACATTGGGCAGGCTAGGTGAACATTGGCAAGTCCAGGTGGACATAAAATCAGCTCTACCTTCTGTCTTGATGTCTCCAATACCCAGCGCCCCTGCAGCCTCTACTGGGACTCCTAGTTGGTGCCTCATGCCCCATACATCCAAATGGAGCCCTGATCCTTTGGCTGAGAGTTTTGTTTTTGTATTCAATAAAGAGGTTGGATTTTGTAAAATACTCCCCCCCCCATCTGTTAAAATACCATGTTTTTTTTTCTTGTTTTTCTGGTGAATTTGTTGAATTTTCTAATGTGAAGCTAATATCACATTCCTGGGGAGAGCCCCAGGATGTGTTTTCCTTTTTATGTATTGCTATATACACTTTTCAGAAACTCCAAATAATAGTTATTTTGTTAAGAATTTTTGCATCCAGCCAGGTACAGTGGCACATGCCTGTAATCCCAGTACCTCAAGAGGCTGAGGCAGGAGGATGGCAAATTCAAGACCAGCCTGGGCAGCTTGGTGAGACCCAGTCTCAAAATTTAAAAAGAGCAGGTTTATAGCTCAGAGGTGGAGTGCTTCTGGGTTCAATCTTCAGTACTTAAAAGAAAGGAGAAAAATAATTTTAGTATCTATGTTCAAGAGAGATTTTTCTGATTTTCCTTTCTCATGATGTCCTTGTCTACTTTGTTGCTAGGGCGGTGATGCCTTTGGGGATGAGTTGGGCATTCTGTTCTCTTGGACTTTCTACATGAGTTGGTAGAGAATTGGTGTCTTGATGTTGGTGCCGTCCTTTCCTTCCACGTTTAGCAGACCACAGGTCCCCTTGTGGGGAGGTTCCTGACCACAGGTCCTGTCTCTTTAGAGCAGGCATCTGGGTGCCACTTCCTGCTGGCTGTCAGACACTGTGACCTCCACCCTGGTGCTGTGTGAGCGCCGTTCTAAGGCACACTGAAGGGGAGTCGAGACTGCCGAGCATCCTGGGTGTCTTGGCTTTATAGATGTTCTGAAGCAGGCTTTCTAGGGTTGGCTGTCCCCAACCACCAAGGCCAAGCCCTTCTGCATTTTCTACCAATTCCTACAAATTCTGGAACTTTCCCATCTGTGCATGGGGATGGTACCTTCTAGCAGGAGTGAGCCCCAGGCCTGTTCCCTTCCCTGCCTTGTGAGGTGTCTGCACATGCCCAGGGCTCTGGGCTGTGCTGCGCTCTGGAGGACCCTGCCAACCCAGGGCCCTCTGTGCCACTCTTCTCTCTGCTGCTCTGTCCTGTGAACTGTGACCCCGTTGGTCTCCAGGGCCCTCTGCTGCATGGCACCTGGTGGTGATGAGTGGGTGGCAGGAGGGCTGGACTGGGGATTTTGCAGCAGCTGTGCAGATACTCGAGGGCAGTGGCTCTGCCTCTAGTCTGGGTTCAGCTGTTGAGGCAGGAGGGCAGCCCTGGTCCCTGTGACCCCCATCTTGGCCAGAAGCAGAAGTGTACTCCCACATTTCTTATTACCTCCCAGCCACAGGCCAGCTCCCTGGGGGAAGCATCTTGTGGTAGGGTAACGTCACCTCCATTTCCTGGAACACCATGGCCACACCGGCTCTTTTTGAGTCTCCAACTTAGCTCTTAAGTCTTGGTTTACTGCTGTGTGTGACTGTGTTGACTTGCCTGTTCTCAGGCCCCTGCCAAGATGCCAAGTGCACCAGGATGTGCTATTAGAAGCATGAGACACGCTCGTGACAAAGCACAGTGGTCCACACTCGGTTCCTGCAGATGGAGCTCGTGTGCTGCCTCCTCACACCTGCACTTGGTCTTGGGCGCACATGCACCCTTTGTGCCCCTCTGGGTGTCCTCTGCTTAATGCTCCTCAGGGCTGGGGGCTTTAGTTGTCCTCCAGGTACAGCTGTGTGTCCCCTGGCCAGTTCTGTGGCTTCCCCCCACTCTGGAGGGTGCATGACCAGACTGAGCAGCTTGGTGACCCCCAGCAGTCTGCAGAGAAAGGGGTGCCAGCCCACCAGGGATCCTATCTGAAGCCTCTGTGCCTCCTCTCCAGGTGGGGAGGGCTACAGAATCCTGGCTGGGAAGATCCTTCTGGGTACCCAGGCCCTGTGCATGGCTTCATCTCTGCTGAAGCCCTTCACACACCACCCCCACTCAGAAGCTTGACTGAGTGCCTTTTCTATCATTCTGGGACTGTGTCTGTCACTTTCTGAGGTCACCCTGCTGTGGCTCAGATGCTGGGCCTCTTGAATGACTCGTAATGTCCCCGTGTTTGCATCCTGTGTCCTTCCTTCAGCTTCTCTTTATTACATGTCCTGGGTGACACTGCTGCTGCAGTTAGTTCAGGAGAGCCTCTTGCCTGGGCAGGAGAGCTGGCCGTGTGCCCACTTCCTGTCCACGTGTCCTCAGTCACTGTGCAGAGCAGTAGCCTGGAGGCCAGGGCCAAGTGGCTTGTCA